GCTTGCGCGCACGATTTAAGCTACAGTACTTGACAGATCGTGATCGCGTATAGTTTTTCTTTGTTAGTACATAAGACTCTGTAGAATGAACTAGGATAAAAATTTTCCGATGAAAACTACGGATTTTAGAACAACAACTACCTTAAATTTGTTCAGATCCGTCTCGAAGTGCTACTGCCCCCTTAAATCCTTACAACGAAAATTCTTGTACGGTATTCCAAAGAATTATTTTGTGCAACCGTAATGAAAAGCCAAGTGTTCTTTGTAATGCAAAGAAAAATCTTTGTAAAACAAGAAATTTCCCTGTAATACAAGGAAATTTGTAAAAATTCGGTTGCACAGAATTCTTTGCAGTACACTGGTAAAACAAGTGTTTAATTTTGCACGTCAATTGACGTTTAAGTTCAAGTGTGCATTTTCTCGACACTTTGTGGTGTCTAACTTTGTTATAAGTCAATTGGTGTTTAAAATTTCGACACTTCCGAAACGTGTGGGAACAGGCTCTTACGTCCCCATGAAAATCGTCCCTAAGACAATTCGTCCCCACCTCTGTAGTCCCCTGTCAGTATGACCCCATCCTTCATGTCCCCATGCTTTGTCCCCAAAATCAATTTCTTACAAATTGGCACGTTTTCAAGTTGAGTATTACAAATTTAATATTACAAGTTACAAACCAACAGTGAAACCACAAGCCCTCAAGAAGTCAAGTACGCGTCCCTCTTCTTTGTACGCCAGGTACTGGTTCACCAGGTTAATCAAACGCATCTGGAACTCTTCACATTTCATCAGAATAGCTGAGAGGACTCTGGTGTACGATAGTCGCACGTTTTCCAGCTTCCAGGGCCAAGAAATCAAGAAATGGCGTTTTTTGCCCCTGGAAGGTATGCAACCGCCTCTGGAGGGCCCCTGCAAGTGGGGCCACCGGGGCTCCACTTCTTAAAAGTTACCTTAGGGTCCATAGATGATGTCTGCAAAGTGGCATCTCAGCAGGAAAAAATGCAAGGTTGTTTCCGCTAACCCCCGCACTATTGTTGAAAAACAAATGCTTCGAAGGCAATACTCCCGCGAGCAGAGATTTTGCGCTCGGGACAAAAGTATACTCGGGACATTGAATTTTTAAGCAAAATACCCGAGGACGAAAAAGGTGGGGACGAATTGTCAAAGGGACGAAAAAATAGGGGACGATTTGCCATGGATCCGAAACGTGTAGCAGCTGTACACCGTATGGTTCCCAATTGACAGCATACAACTGTGTGCCCAAGTGTGCAGAATTTAAACGTTTACAAAACGTCTAAAATTTGCACACCACGCAAGTGTACAACATGAGTTAAACACAATGTAATGTGCAAAATCACAACTTGCACACGTTGGTGTGCAAATATTGCACACTTGTTTTACCAGTGTACACGAAATAATGCTACATAAAAGATTAAGAATTTAGCACAGAGCGGGCCCTTGTTTTATGATCGTAGGCTTTCGGACGGGCCTGTTGACCTAATAGATGTGCTCCTTGGACATACGCGAGTAATGTAACGGTGTAGCCCCCGACGACGGTCCAAGGTGTGGTGTGGTGCGGGCATATTGTATCCATCCATAGTGCGGGTGCCGCACTAGAACCCAATGCGATTCAATATCGAACCAACCCGATTCGAAATTTCGAATTAATCGACACCGAATCCGGCAAATTCGAAATCGGACGAATTCGAATTTGTTCGATTCGATCCGATTCGATATCGAACAATTCGCACAGCTCTATGTAATGGACACATTTATGACACAAAATATAATGCCATATGCAATTAAAAATAGTCGAAGCCATATGTTGTAATGTATGGGCATTTGTAAAGCATACAAACCCTCGGCCTTGGTTGACCTTGGAAACGGCAACGCGGATATAAAGTTATGGACGCAGATTGAAATTCGATTTTCGACTGAGGCGACCTGCTGATCAGCGTGACGGCCAAAAAAGCAACACAAATTCAAGTTGCAAAGAGAGCAAAACTCGGGCGAGCTGCAGGCAAGAGTCCCGGCGCCGTATCGGAAATTATACTCTGAGTTTGGCTGTAACTTTTGACCTCTTCCCTTTCCACTTTCCTCACTTTATATACTGTACATCTCTCATGCCCTTTCCACCTGGAGCTCTGCCACCATGTCTGCGCCTCCACAGGAACAGTACAAAGGACAGGCACAGGTCATATGGGTGGTACCTGGCCAGTACACCGACTTTGATCGAACTAAAATACAAGATCAAAAACGTGTCGTTGTCAACGTGCGCAAAGTTTCGTTGGCAAGTTCACGACAGTGCACATGACGCATATACGTGGTAAGTGATGAGAGCTGAGGCCCACTTAATCAGTCTTATTATATACTTCTCGCAGTAACCGGCGGGCACACGCCCTGAGCGAGCAGGGAGGAGGGGGTCGGCTCCTGGGCTGGAGTCTTGCCTTCCGGCGTCTTCATCAAGGCAATCAAGGGCGCCTATCCCACGGAATACCGTTCCCCGCCTCTCCCCCTCTCCCTCCGAGCCAAGTGCAAAACGTGAAGTAGGCGACATAGGATGAGGTAATGAACCCGCACAGACGCGTGACCTATATGCCTTATGCAGAAGGCAGTCAGGAAACCACTCCTGCTTCGCCACGCTAACACCAACGCCAACTGCTACCACCCGTCCCAACCCGTCCTCTAAATCTTCCTGGTGACGACCGCATGCCGATGTCAGCCCCCAGACGGTTGCTGCCCCCCTTCTAATCACAAGAGCCAAGGTAGGCGGAAGGTAAAGGCGCAGCTCAGCGGCAGCGCCTTAGGCTAACCGTTCCTGGCGTGCGGCGCTTCGTTTGAAGGGGTAGGGGGTGAGGAGAGGGTGGGGGGTGGGGAGCAGAGCTAGGCAGGGCAGGGGGATGCAGGGCAATAAGGAAGCAAGCAACAAAACGCTTCGGGGTGAGTGAATCACTCAAACCTGCGAGGCACGGCTACCGGCGATCCTAGCTGACCCCACCGGCAGATTGGCTAAGGGCTGCACGGGGAAATGGAAATACCCAATCGCAGTGGGAACTCATTGCGCCAAACACTGTTGATCTGATCGAACCAAGCTTGCGGACCAGCCCTCTCCTCCGCCGCTCTACTCTGCCTGTAGTGGAGCGGCGTTGTGTGGTGGCTGTGTGATTTCGCCAATCAAGTCTGCGGACCCAACGGGCAAGAAGGTGGGGGGAGAGATGTGGAGGAGAGGAGTGGTTGTGAGGGGGGACGCAAAGTCGGTTAACCGCATGTACGCCCCCAACCCTCCACCTTCCCTTTCCCTCCTGTCAGCCACCACCTTTCCTTAGTCCAGAGGTAGGATAGGGAGATGACGAGAGGAGTGGAATGGTTGGCACGGAGTGGCACACTGAAAGATACTACAAGGTCTACAGCGAGGTCTATGGCTCGATATCGGCATCCAAGCATAAGTACAGTAGGGCAAATCAGCGCGTGGCGGACTGACGTTCGCACGCCTTTATTCACGGTCTTTTGCATATCGGGGCACCTTTGAACAGACTTCGAATTCGAAAAGTGCACTGAAGAAAGTTAGTCGGAAGTATGCGGGAAAACTTTTCATGATGTGTGTCGTAAAAAATAACAATTTTGCAAGCACTTCCTATCGACTTGGAATTGGTTGACAAGTTAAATTGTACTGTCACAAGTTTACAACATATTTTGTCAATGAAAATTACAACAAATGTCGTAACTTTACGACGATATGTTTTACAGTGATGTCATGACATCATTGATTTATAAATCGAGCTGCAGATTTTGTTAAGGTTTTCAACTCCCCTGTAGAATTATTTGTTCTAAGTGTACAACCATTCAAACTTGCGTGACGAACGGACATTTTTCAGAAGTAGGTTTTGACATGGTGTTACTAATTTTTTTTAAAATATGCCAATCCGATACAGATGTGTTCGAGTAAAATTCCCCCAAAACTAGGTCTATAGCATTATTTTGAACCGGATTTTCCTTATACCAAATTTTTGGAACGGCCCTTCCTGCGGGACGAAGCTTTCGGGAGTTGACCTGCTCCAATGGTTGTTCCCTAAAATGTGAACGGAATGTGTGTGGTAACAAAATGTTAGTCCGTGACGAAAAACATGGATTTATTTGTCTAGAGAGCAAACCACAATATCTGGAAAAAATTCCTTCCGGATCCTACGTTAGTACTTTGTTACCAACGAAAAAAAGGACATTTGCCTTTTTTGGGCCGTCCACCAGAGGTGAGAAGCGGACCCATCCGGACGATAATACGGTACCGCACGGTTGCAGTCCGGTTCTGGATCCCGGTCCAATCCGGTCCCACCATAGCTAACCACAGGCTGTTTGAACACCAAGAAAGTGTGTTAATTACAGATAAGCACACTTAAAGTGTCCGAAGATACACACTCGTTGTACCAGTGCTCTAACTCATCTACTCATTCAATCCTCTCGGGTGTTAGCGCCGCTGGCCTTGCTAAATTTGCGCCAGGCGCGTCGCAGCGGAGCAGTACTTCGTGAGATATCGCAAAGCCTGTTACGCGAGACGTGGTCTCACAGTGTTGTTTTGTAAAGTGCAGTGCCATAAACGGTTCTGTTCTATCCGATTCATGCGGTTTCGACGACCATAATGAACCGTGCAGGCAGTGTCAAAGCGCGTTGTTGGTGATGAAGGTGGCGGGTCGGCCAGCCACCTGCTCCCGCTTGTCGCTGTTTCCAGACCACTCACCTCTAGACGCTCTGCCCGCGCTCAGTTGTTTCCCAGAGTCCCAGAGTGATAGGTCCTCCCCGCCGCCCGGTGTCGCTGCGGCGGCCGATGGACCGTGTCTGAAATCAAATCCCATCGTCACAACACAAAAAAAAGGTTTCTACCGTAATTTTCTTTTTCCAAAAACTGGGCAAGGTCACTTTACTCAAGAAAGTCTTTAAAGTTAAGGTGCGTAACATGTGTCGATAGAATGTGACATTTGGATTAGGGTGAATAAAAAGTTGAACGATTGTGTGGGCAAGCAGGTCTTGGATACGCGAAAATGTCTCTTAAAAAAGGGACATAGTCCTAATTTCAAATAAAACAAGAAAAAAATAAAACTGATAAGTCGAATTAATTTGTTGAAAGGGAAAGAAACGAAAAGCCAAGTAAAATGAAATTACAAAAAGCTAGTCAAGGTTTTGCGTTGGAGAGGGTATAAGGAAGGAATTGAGCCTATCGTCGCACGCTTCTCTGCTTAACCGTCCCTCAGGACAGCCCGGTAAATGACCGCTGAGGTAGCCTAATTACCGTGGCACGCCCCGCCGCAACACGCCCGCACACGAAGCGATGAACTGTGCCCGTTCCGTTCGCGGTATTTGCATACAGGAGGTTTACCACATACCACATGTGATTCCCAGCGCAAAAAGTTTTCCCACCAATTATCTGCGGTATGTTTTGCGCAGCTGGAGGGAGGGGTCAACAGTGAGAGGAGCGTGGAGGGGGGAGGATACATTGTTCAAATGAGAGCACCGCGCTTCGCATAGCTAGACTACCTGACGAACTGTGTCCTCAATTCAATAGTTACACTGAG